AACAAGCGTTAACATTAGCGCCCTCGATTAAATTCTATGCTCATGGGCAGTTGGGGCTGAATACACACATTTCTAATATCCTCAGAAAGGGCGCAAGCGTAAAGTGTGTAGGTAAAAGCTCAGCTGGGCAGTCATTGTAGTTCAAAGGTTTAGTTTATGGAGTAACAGTGTTACTGATCCATGTCTTTGGATGTACGGCCCAACAAAAAATGTCACAGAATGTTGTCTCCTCAAATCGTTTCAAACATATCTGTGGAACAGTTACCAGCTCATCTTGAGAGTATTCACAAATTTCTTCTTCAGATTTCGACGACTTAATTTTCTGAAAGTACTGTGTCGTATTGAAACTCGTAGTGTACTGCAGAGTACAAATATGCCTTCAGGGTGCGTGCTGTCTTGCCATTTCATCACCTGCTGTTACCATCAAGTCGATTGAATGTGCAATTATTGACTATGCATTCATGCAAGGATGGATTCATGTTCGTCCACCTCTTGAAAATACTGGAAAGCGCATAGCTATCATCGGATCCGGGCCTGCAGGTATTATTGTGGCTCAGTGGTCAATGTTCCCTTCCGCTTCCCTTTGTACCTACAAAATTTCCAGGAATGGCCGCAGCCGCGCAGCTGGTCAAAGTAGGTCATACAGTAGTCGTATACGAGCGGAAGAACCGAGTTGGTGGCCTGCTTAGGTGAGTGACTGGCACAAAGAAATCATTAAGTAATGCGAGTTTTGTTCAGGTACGGTATACCGTCGATGAAACTTGATAAGTACATTGTCGATCGACGGGTAAAACTGCTCGAAGACGAGGGAGTTCGTTTCTTAACGAATACGGAAATCGGAAAGCATGTTCCGGCCTGATTTCCTATTGAAGGTGTGTTGGTGTCTTGATGGTTCAACGCTTGTTCCATCGAAACAACTATTCTCCTTTTAGGACAATGACGCTATCATCGTCTGTACTGGTTCTACGACGCCACGAGACCTTCCAGTTCGTTGTTGACTGCAGATCTACGGTTATCTTAGCCTATCATCTGTAATGTACGAACTGGTTTCCAGGTAAACGGTCGCGATGCGAAAGGTATCTGCTTTGCAATGGAGTTCCTGGAAAAGAGTCAACGCCGTCGTGCTGGTGATGATGTACCTTGGGAAGGTCTAGATGCGGCTGGAAAGCGAGTAATTATCCTTGGGGGTGGTGATACCGCTACTGACTGCATAGCTACTAGTAATCGTTTGGTAAGCGTAAACTTTATTCTCTCTCTCATTAGAACTTACAATGCACCCCCCATTAAGCCTTAATTTTGGAGGTGTGCCTATTGCACAGGAAAATGGAAGTAGGCATGATAGTGTTCGAGTAGTAGCGAAGAGAGCATCAAATGAAATCTTTGAAAGCATTCTCTACACTGGTCGCGTGGACTAAAGACAAACCCCGGGATTAAACTGGTGCTAAGAGCGCTTCGTGATGATAGCTTAGCTGCGGAACGACCTGAAAGTGGAAAGGAAAGCAAGAGAATCTTTGGGAACGCTGAAATTAAGGCCTTAACCTTAAGGTCGGATGTGGTACGATGGCGAGACAGGGCGATCAAAGAAGACAAAATACGCGAGAGAGCACGTCGTTTGAGAGAGCACGCTGATCTCTACATCAATGCACGCTGATCTCACCACCTCTCGCGGTGGGTGGGAAGCGTTGAAGGGTCGATGGTTGCAGGCCCGTAAGGATTAGCGCCCTAACCGCGCAATTTTCGCGACGAAGCTGGAGTGATCTAGGTAGGTACGGACCTTACAATTTCCCTCGCGGTATCCTCCCACAAGTCGGGCTCATCCCGGGGTTCGCCTTTAGGTCACTTCGATTATTGTACTTTCCCCATTGACGTGCTTTTCATTAATACCGTAATATTTAGAGGACCACCTCAAAGACAGGGACAGGGAAAGACACAGGGATCCAGTAAGCAGCATACGCCCGATATCAAAAATTCATTTAAAGGCGGCGCTCGCGTTGGATGAGACGCGTCACGTCTACTCTCATTTGCGAGCAGTAGTTACCACCTGGCATGCCTCCGAAATAACATCCGAATTGATTACTTTCACCATATCCTGAGCTACCACCCTCTGGGTGTTAAGTCGTTTCAACTACTCGTGGTCAGGCTCATTCGTACTGATTGTCACTCCTGATTCATTCCTACAAACAGGGTGCAAAATCGGTGCAAGCATTCGAGATCCTGCCAAAGCCGACGGAAGGTCGCAAGCCAGACAACCCATGGCCTGAATGGCCGGTGATATTCAGAATTGATTACGGCCATGAAGAAATGCATATGAAGACTGGGAAAGATCCGCGAACGTATTCGATTTCCACAAAGGTTGG